AGATACACTAATTGCCAGTCAATGCCGTTGAAGAAGGGATGCTCTTTCACTTCTTCGGCTCCCCTTCCCTTACAGCCCATGCGTTTGTCGACGTCTCGATGCAACAGCCCTTCCAACAGCACTTTGAGCTCAGGTGTGAATGAGTCGGGAAGCTCTACAGTCATCGTCATTGTCATCCTATCGATCTCATGCTTGTCTTTAGTCTTGTGCTGACGGAACGGACTGTGCCTACGGTTATGGCAAACAAACATGTGTTAAAACAAACAAAGAGTAAAGCGTTTCAATTGTGATACCCTTTTAATAGCTTATAGAGCATACATCCCAATGAGAACCAGTCGGCACTGGCGTCGTAAGCGGTTCCCTTCGAGAGCACTTCGGGAGCCATATAGCCGTGAGTGCCGACAGAGGCGTGAGGTTTCTTCTTGGAGTAGTCACAGGCGAGGCCGAGGTCTGAGATGCGGACGTGACCATGCTCATCCAACAAGATGTTGGCCGGCTTCAGATCCCTGTAGACCACTTGTCGCCGATGCATGTGATCCAAACCCAGTATCACTTCCGACGCGTAAAACCGCATCTCGTGTTCAGTGAACACTCCGTGTTGTGACAGATGGTAGTGAAGGTCTCCGCCGTTCATCAGATCCAATATGAAGCACAGTTTGTCTGCGGTCTGAAACGCGTATGTCATGCACACAATGAACGGACAGTCCTCACCGGTGCTGACTAGCGATAGCATAATGCGCTCATTGAGGGCGAGTGTCTCTCCCTGTTTCATTTTGATGCGCTTTTTGTCCAAACACTTCATTGCATACATTTTGCCGGTGTCTGCCTTCCGGCAGCCGTACACCTCACCGAAGCCACCCCTGCCGATGATGCGGTGCACCGAGAAGTCATTCATTGTCAGCTGTATATTGAGCTCCAGATTCTTCCACTGACAGAATCGCGTGTATTTGTCACTCTCTATGAATTTGCGGAACACATCGCCTCTCAAATGGCTGTATATCTCTTCGATGTAGGGCTGGAAGAGAGTGACGGGTACTTCGTTTCGCATCAAATACTTCTGCACGTGATTCACAGCCTCTTTCGAGTAGTTGTGAGTGTGAGAGAGAAGCTCTTTCATTATGAAGTTGTCGTATATCTCTCGGGCAGCCGTACGGCGCTCTTCGATGGTCTCCAACTTCTCGTACCGTTTGATCTCTTCGTAGAACTTGAGCTGTGGAACCGATTCGTCGCAGACGTTCTCACAGAAGTCTTTGAATGTGAGGAAACCCAGCTTCTGGCTGAATATCTTGTCGAACGCCACCTCGCTCATTTTCTCCAAATACTTATGCATTACACTTCGCACACTAGGGTTGGCATGAAAAACAAAAAACACAATTTATTTTCATAACTGTATCATTAGTTTTTCGGTTTAAAGTTGTATTTGTTTTTTAATAACATTACAACAGAATTACAAAAAACAAACTTTAATTATACATTTCAGTCGCTTAAGGGATGTGTGAAACACAATGCGATTCTTTCTGTCACTAATTAAATGTTTTTTATGATTTGAAAAATACATTTGTTTTTCTTTTGTTTTTCATTTGCCTGTAATAGCGATGTAATTGTTTAAAACTGTATTCTCTATTCATTAGTATGAATTTAATTAAATAATTCTGTAAAAATAGTCCATAAAAACTATTCTAAATATTTGATAGATTTTTTCGCTCTGAATATCTTTTGTTAAACGGGTTTTTAAAATATTAAAACTATTGTTAATATATAAAATGTTATTATTTAGAGAGAGAGAGAGGAATGAAGCAAAAAATAAAGGGATTGTGAATAAAAAATGCGGCAATTGTTATGTAATTGACAATACATTGGCGTTTGAATGAGTGGTTGTAGTGTTTGGTTGTACTGACTGTGAGGGCAGAATCGGTGTGGAGTGTTGGAGGTGTTGCGGCACCGACTCAGACATACGGGCGTCTGTAGTGCACACATAACGGTATACACTGTCACACTCTGTGGCAATACATGGAGTATTAGCCCTACATATTGTACATACCGTACAGACTGTATGTAATGCTGTATTGAATGGTGTATTGAATGCTGGGCTTGTGATGAGTGAGTGGTTCGTCCAAAATGGATATACAGTGCACTCAACGCACACATACTGTACAGACTGTACACATACTGTACATACAGTACACACACTCTCTCACTGTTATTGTATGACAACTGATGGCTGAGTAGTAGTGATGGCCAGAGAGGAGTGTTGTTGTCGTTGTCGTCGTTGTTGTCGATACTCTTTGGTCTGTTCTTCAGCTCAATATTGAATATATGGTGACCCTCTCGATGTCGCCCACCATAGTGTCCATCACCTGTATTGAGCCGTCATCTGTGGTGAGCAACAACTGTCAACTCTTGAGCGCCACCACCGCCTCCACAGCCATCGCCGCCACAGACATGACCGCATCGGTCGCCAACACATCCATTGGACCTCTTTATGATTGTGTAAATGATGTGCTCAACGCATACCACACGTAGTGATCACCGCATTTGTTCACTCCGTTAAACGATATCTTCATTTAAATAGTGAATTACCATTTCATACGCCTATTAAAGACTTTATACCTTAAGACACGACCGCAATGTGTGAGCGCCTATTGGGTCGCCGACCGCCCTCTTGAGCGAGTGGTCAGACCAGACATTACACTATAGCCACACATAACCAGTTATTGTCCATCTGATCGGCGCCGCCAGTGATCCGACAAAATGGCTGACTTAGAGGCGGTTCTCGCGGATGTGAGTTATCTGATGGCAATGGAGAAGTCAAAGTCCACGCCCGCCGCCCGCGCCTCCAAGAAGATCATACTTCCCGACCCCAGGTATGGTCACAACACACACCCATCCCATCCCTAACACCCATATTCTGTTATTCCATGTATTCTGTTATCCCATATATAATGCCATGTATTCCCAGAATCGGTGATTGTGTGTATGTTTTGCATATATGTTGTATATTCTGTGTATACGTTATGCCCTTTCCCTCCACCCCTACCATCCCTTTCCCTTCACCTGTATGTCGATGTTTGAAATGATGTTTCCTTTCATTTAAAATCTTATTTAAATTTTCCCATTGAATCCCTCTCTCTCTCTCTCTCTCTCTCTCTCTCTCT